CCCCAAAACCCCAAAACCCCAAAACCCCAAAACCCCTTCAGATACTCTAGATATTGAAGGTAAATGCTTTATCTATAAATGTTGATCTCGAAGCTCTCAGTGAGTTGGTATCCATTCAAGAAGATAACAATGATATTAACTTGGAACTCAATCTTAAAATCCTTATGCTTCATAGTGGGTGAACTATAGACAATAGGGAAGAGCATGTAGAGAGGAATCTCTAAGTTCCTGATAACATCACCATCTGCTACCTGGATATTCTGAACCTCTGTAGCATTAGTCTTTCCTTCAAAGGTCTCAACTCTTACTAACTGGACTTCAAGGGATTTTATTTCAAGTTCTGACTCCTTTACAGTGATAGTTCCGTCAAAAGGCTCGGTTATGCAACAATTTGCTGAATTAATTTTACCCTCAAACAAGAACTTTGGAACTGAGGAGATAGAACTACCATCAAGAGATGATGGATCAATGCAGAAATCAATTGGATTGTCCTTCTTACCAAGCTCTGCATCAAGCCCTTGCCCTTTTACAGCTACATAGAACTGCTCTGTCTTTTCAGTTACCTTCGACCCTTTGAGAACTGTAATTGTAAATTCATAGATAATAGAAAAATCTACTCCTACATAAGTTTCTACAAGATTTTCTCCAGGAACGTTGCTTTGGAGCTCATACTCAAAAGGAATCTCTTTCTTGACTTCCAAAAAGCCGGGAGAGGTTAGCTCCTTTCTATCTTTAAGGAAATAAATTCTCTCTGACTCTTTGAGTGGACCACGACCATATTTACCTCTGATTATTGAGACGGTGTCTAGGTATCCACTCACATTGAGAACAATCCCTTGATGTTGGATACCAACGGTATCATTGTATATGTAAGTACCTCCTAGCATTTCTCCTGGCGCATAGTACTTATCTGCCCTATCCAGTTCTATTTCGAGAGAAGCCATTTTAATTGAAGATAAATTACATACTAATGGGGTTTTGGGGTTTTGGGGTTTTGGGGTTTTGGGG